AACCACTGCTGTAATTTTTCTTCTCGTTCTTCTTGTTTCTTTTCTTGTTCATTTTGTTGTTCGAACTGCCACTGTTGCAGGTTTTCTTGCAGCTGCTGTTGTCTCTCTTCTTGTTTCTTTTCTCGTTCATTTTCTCGTTCTTCTTGTTTCTTTTCTTGTTCATTTTGCTGTTCGAGCTGCCACTGTTGCAGGTTTTCTTGCAGCTGCTGTTGTCTCTCTTCTTGTTTCTTTTCTCGTTCATTTTCTCGTTCTTCTTGTTTCTTTTGCTGCTCTTGTATTGCTGCCACCAAGTCTGCTAAGCCTTAGTTTGATTTGCCGCTTCTCGTTTCCATTTGTTTTTTCGTTCCACTTCTGACACCAATTTGTTACGTCTCCATTTGTTAATTGATTTTCCGTAACTTTGTTCCGACGAAACTTTAGCGACACAAGTCCTTACTTAATAAAACTGGTTTATTCTTTCCAAATACAACTTTACGATACACTCAACTTCAAGAGTCGCGCTATAACAAACTATAGTTCACGTCTCACGAGCTCTACTTCAACACACACATTATTGTCCCGTCACGTTGTCACCCTCTTATATATACCAGACTATCCTATATCTAGTAATCTCCCGATAATTCCCGAAGGTTCGAGAGAACGAGTCACGTGACCTCGCTGACGCAACAATATCAAGAGTCAGATATTCTTAATCTTTATACTGTTTTTCTTCTTTATTTGTCCACTTCATAATTTAGCACAGCTATCTTCATAACTGAAAAACAATAATGGTTTGTACCAGCTTCTTCCCAGTGGGTGGCTGAGTTGGACAACCTTCTTTATTATCAGTTTATTCTTCATTATGGTTAGAACAAAATATAAAAACTTTATGAATATTTCCTGGCTGCAGTTTTCTTTTTTAAGACATCATAGACCATTGAAAGATGTTACAATATCCATTAATACACTGAATAACTGGTAGAATGAGAAGTTTTATACAAATATCCTGTTAAAATAATGCATCACCTTATGTTAACATAGCATAATATTTAAGGACAGCGAGGGAGCTTATTGGTCCATCTAGGCTGTTCCATTCACTAAAATACTAAAGCTACGAAAAAAACAAAACAAAAAATCCCTCAAAGCCACCCCTTATCATCCATATAGATATCAAGCTTTCTCTTAAACTCACTTAAATTTACTGCCTCCAGAACATCTGAAGGCAACCCATTCCAATGGCCAACTACTCTGTTAGTAAAATAAAACTATTTTCCCAGAAGATGACCCCTACCTTGCCAAAAGATGATGCCTCAACACTATCAATTCCCTTAATTTTAAACACCTCAATCATATACTCTCTAACTCTTCTTTTTTCAAGAGAAAACAATTTGAGAGATTTAAACCTCTGGTCATATGACAACTCTCCATCCCACGCACCATTCTAGTAATCCTCCTTTGAACCCTTTCAATGTCCTTCCAATGGTAAGGATTCCAAGACTGGAAGTAATACTCCAAATGTTGCCTAACCAGTGACCTATACAATGAAATCATAACTTCTTTAGACTTGTATTTAATATTTCTATAGATACAACTTAAAATCCTATTTGCCCTACTACAAGCAACAGCACACTGTTTGGATGACTTAGAAGATTTATCAACCATTACGCCAAGATCCATTTCTTTCTTAACACTGTTAAGGTTATTCCCATCCAAATTATGATAATCCACATGCATTATATTGCATTTATTATAATTAAAACCCATCTGCCATTTATTTGCCCAACTCACTAGATGATCTAAATCCTCTTGTAAATCAGCAACATCCTCTTCACAGCTAGCAACACCCAATACTTTAATGTCATCTGCTAATTTAAGTAATTTATTGACTCTCCCTTCATCTATGTCACTGATGTAAATCAAAAAGAGCAAAGGTCTTAAGACTGAGCCCTGAGGTACTCCACATGTGACATATAGCACAAAGAATCACATTATTAGAAAATTAAAAAAAAAATGGTGTAGTGTAATGAGAACAAATTATTTTGTGTACATGCGTAGGTTTACTTTCTTTATTTGACACCAGAAAATTGTTACCTTATTCAACTATATTTAAATTATTACCTTATTTTATCATCTTATTCTGGAAATTATGCTGTTTTTATTCAGTTTCTTTTGACATGTTTCCATAAAATCCATATTCATTACATCATTATAAGTTTATTAGCATAACAATAAAGTTCTGGTTTAATGCATTTTTATATTTTTGTTTTTAGGCACTTTTGGTCAAATATATCATGGTGTATTGACAGAGGATGAAAATGAAGTCAGCAGTAAACAGGATGTCTTTGTTAAAACAGTTTCAGGTATTTATGCCCATATATCTTAATAGTTATTAATTGAAACTGGCTCTCCAGTTTTTATATGTGTAAAATTGGAATTTGATTTAATACAAACACACGCATTTGATAAAAAGATATTTAAAATAACCACTAGAGCAAAGACAAATATAGTGAAAGATTTCCTCAATCAAAAGTCTGGCCTCAGTTAATGACAAGGTTGAATAAGAATAGTCTATTTACAATTTAGTAAGGACACGTATCCAAAATTTTTTTATAAAACTGGGTATAATGAATTTGATTGCCTGTAATCTGTATATTAATAATAATGCTAAGAAGTCAGAGTATTTTATCGTTAAGACAATTCGTGCTTCTGTCATCCTAGAAGATTTCTGATCCCAGATGAATTAATGTTAGCTTAGTACATGGTTGTTTTTGTGAGGATGGTTAGAAACTTATGCAGCATTGAAAAGCTTTTAGCTATTATTAGCCAATACAGATTGGATCATGCATATATATATTATACACATATATATACACACACACACACACACACACCATCTTATTACATTTTAGTATTTTTATTTTTAAACAAATATCCTATGAACTTAAGTATTTTTTTAACAGTTTGCTTTTATAATTTACTTCAAGAACTGGTTGTTCTCTAGTAACATAGCAATATGCTTTAGAACTTACAATGCTAAAAATCAGGATTGGAACCCCATAGGATCCACAGTGTAGATAGTCTAGTGTGACCAGATGTCCCAGTTTTCCTGGGAAGTCCCATTTTTTGATAAATACATCAAACTGTCAGACACATCACAATTGTAATAGGCCTACTTGACTTGGTTGTTGTTATAACACGTATTCTCCTGCGCCAAACTCTAGAAAGCTCTGTCTGTATGTGGTGAGAAACCAAGGTCTATGCAGGTCTGATAATGAAGACAGTTAAAGCATTGTTCATCTTCAAAACACATTTGACACAGTTATGTATTGAATTTTATGATAATTTAGTGAAAACAACAGAACTATGTTCTATTCATTCTTCACAAGAAAAAAAGTTTTAAAAAGTTTCAAATTAATTCTAAAATCTAAGAGTAGTATGCTCAAAATTGTAGAAATTGCCTTTATTAATAACTAATATAACGTAATTAACTAACAGTAACATAAACATGTTTTTTTTCTTTCAAATTCATTACAAAACTCCTCTTCAAGTGTGGTTGATACACAGGAAATCTGATATAATGAAAGACATCTAGATCTACTGTTCAGTAGTGTTTCTCTTGATGTACAAACGAGTATAACACATCCAAACCTGTTGTCCAGTGTGATGATGTGTTATGATAGCTAAAGGGATTAGACATAAATGAAAATCTTGACTAGCTGTTAGACCTCTCCATGTTTGTTTATATAATTTTTTCCTAAATACAAGATTTGATAAACATGACAAGAAATAATTTTGAAATTTGTTGCACATATAGAACTGGACTTGCAGTGGCTAGCTTAAGGTTTCATTTAATATATTTTTAGTATATTTCATGTATCAATGGCATAAAAAGTAATACCCTTTCAAAACATTTTTTTAAATATTCATTCAGTATTTTAATTATTTATAAAAGTTCAGATTTTATTAAATAAAGGTTAGTTACAGTTATTGTTAACACTATCAAAATATCTTTTATTAATTTAATGACAATCTTAAAATTGTCATAGAAGTAGTTGAGGTATGTATGATAGAAGGACAATCTGTAACATACTAAATATTTTAGTTATTGATATAAACAGGTGCAATAGATGAGAATCATAAATCTTTCTGGCTCACAGGAGATAAACTATAGGAAAATAAGTAATATTAGTACTGGTGTAAAGTTTGCATTTTTACTTCTATCACCTGTAAGTGAATTGATAAAAACTATACAGGGTGGCCCAAAAACATTTACCTACATTTTGACTATAGTGAATGAATCTACAAGCCAGCAAAATATCTTTATTAATACTTCATACAACAAATTAACTGTACATACACTCCTGCATCATTTGAGATGCTCAAACTTGGCTCCACCTACATTCAAACAATCATGAAATCTGAGTGCCTGACATGCTGTTACACAATTTTCTACTTTGATTTAATGGAAAGCATTTATGATCTGTTGCTTTAATTCATCAGTGGTTTTGGTTTTGTTTTTAGACATCCTCCAATATTATCTGAAATTAAAGTTTTAGAACTGATGTACAAAAGTTGCATAACTTAAAGGATGGGTACGTTGTTTGGGTCATCAGTGTTAACCAAGTGGATGTTTGTGTTAGTGGACCTTTAACTTAACCTCAGTGTTAACCAAGTGGATGTTTGTGTTAGTAGACCTTTAACTTAACCTCAGTGTTAACCAAGTGGATGTTTATGTGAGTGGACCTTTAACTTAGCCTAATGTATAATGATGTATAATGCCTAATCTCTCAAAGCATAATCTGTTGCAGGTGTGATATTACAGCATCATAAGACTAATAGAATATTACATCTATTGTCTGTGAGCTATCTGTATACCAAAAATTTGTAGAAATTTTGGATTTTGCCTACAGAAAAATATAAAGAGGATATAATTATGATAGAAATAAAACATGTGAAAAACAGTGCTAAACTAATTTTACTTTTGGCTTAAGTTAGCCCAGATATTTCTTTTAAAGCAGTAATTGTTTTTTTCTGTACCAACAAAAAAATTATCATATTGAGGCTGACTTATATCTTCGAAATAAAAAAATCAAACTGAAAAAATAAAAATTTTACAAAAAATCTTTGTTAATATTTTCAGTTATAAATTGTTTTTGGATTTGCTTCGACAACATATACTTTTTTTTACATTTCAAGTATATTTTTATACTCATTTCTTTTTCAGACCAAGCTTCTCAAGTTCAAGTTTCATTGCTGTTGGCAGAAGGAATGAGAATGTTCTCTTTAAATCATAAAAATGTGTTATCTGTGGTTGCTGCATGCATGGATGACCCTCAGAGGCCCCTGTTAGCTTATCCTTACATGAGTCAAGGAAATCTTAAAAGTTTTCTTCAAAAATGTAAATTCTCAGCTGAAGGACACTGTCATGTAAGTCTCTTTTAACAATCAAGTTAAAAATTATGTCAATAAATAACATTTTCTGAACTTTAGTCAGTTTTCAACTGAATGAGGTTTGTGACATTGCTCTTAAATCAATAATGGAAACAATTTTTCAATATTTTTCTTATGTTATTTTGAATTCCTCCTGTGTATTGTTAAAAACATGTGACCCTAAGGTGTGTGATAATCACTGTAGGTGCACAATATTTCAAAAAGGTAGTACTGTTGATTCCGTATTTAAAAGAAATATCATTCAGGTAACTACTTTCAATTGATTTATATCAGTTTCTAGAAATTCCACCTCTAGACGGTGATGCGGGAGGAGATCAAATAACAGAAAAATAATCTGTTAATCTGGTGAAATTTATAATGAAACAAGTATTTGAATTATCAAATGCAAAACTCAAATATCTGTCAAAATATTTGTTAAACTTTGAGTTTAAAAATATTCATGTTAAAGATTTTATTATAGATCTAATTAATTTTAGGTTAAAATGAAATCGTATACCTATAAGTTTATGATGATTTATATTTACCTTCGCTGATCCATAAAAGTATTCAAGAAGTTATTTTTCCCATAAAATAGTTTCAACTTATAGTCAGTGTTAAATAAAGTAATACCTATAGGACCTCTTCTCATTAACTATAAAAAATTCATTGAATAATTTAATCAAATAGAAGTTGGCAACTTACCTTGAAACTGTTATAATAGTTTTTTAAAGGTATCTTTAATAATTATATAGTTACGGGAAATTTAGAAGTTGTTAAAGATAAAGAATTATAATCAATATTAAAGAAAGGTACTAAATATAGAATTTCAAAATGCACAGAAAGTGTGAAATCTTAAAAGACTTAGAAAAAAAAATATTGATGATTATATTCTTAAAATATATAAACAATCCTATTATCCGCCATGTTTATTTTTTGAATGGAAATTATATTTTATTAATTAAAATATAATTAAGAACCTTAAACTTATCTGGATATAAATTTGATATTTCTTTTAGTGTTTTTAAAGTTAAGATAAATTCAAAAACAATTCGTTATTACCCTGATTGATAAAGCTGGCTGTAATTTTGGTTTTGTGTGTAAAACATTATATGGACAAATTTATATTTAATGAAATTAATACTACAAGTACTTTTACAAAACTACTTTAAAGAAAAGTAATGTTATTACTAATTTAAAAAATGAATATCGATACAGATTATTCTTGTACAAATTTAGCATTTTTATATGAACTTCCAAAACTGCATAAAAATCCTATAATATTCAGATTTATTACTAATTCTTTAAATACAGTCATTAAATCTGTTTACATAATACTTAACAATATTCTAGATGTCTTGTTTCAAAAAATAAAAACAGTCTTCAAATAACCAGAATAATTATTTTTGGATTATTAAAAAATAACATCCCAGTTTAGAATGTTTAAATAATTTAAATTTTTCAAAAACTGTCAGTTCTATTTTTACATATGACTTTACTACATTGTATACTAAAATAGACCTAAAAGATTTAATCAGGGTTTTCAATGATTTGTTTGATAACTTTATGAATAATGAAATAACTATACCCAAATTTATAACAGTTATATTATTTTTTAACAAACAAGTATGTAAGCAAATGATGGGTATTTCAACGGGAACAAACTACTCTTCAAATATGGCCAACCTGTATCTATTCTTTTATGAAACAGACTTTAAATCCTAAATTATACATTTACACTTTCCGTTACATAGATGATCTAATATCTATAAATAATATGAATTTTACACCAAACTTAATATATCTAACAGAACTTACAATAGAAAGAAGTAATAATAATGAAAAAGCTAATTATTTAGATTTAGACATTACTTTTATAGAAGGTACAGTGTGGTTGATTTTGACTATTTTTTATAAGAGAAGAGAATTTAATTTTCCCATTCTTGGTCTAACCACACCTAATAGTGTTACTCCGTGTAACATATTAAAAGTTATTATTATATCTCAACTAAAATGGTTCTTAATAGTCTGTAATAACTAATTTTTTTATGGATAATGTTTTATTAGTAAGAAATAAACTGAAAGATAATGGTTATAAAGACAGACAATTGAAAAAATACCTTACTTTATTTTTTTATAAATAGAAAAATATGTTAGGAACTGAAATATCGAGATATCGATTAAAGAAAATATCTTATAGAAATAAATAGAATAAAGAGGGGAATTGCTTACTTTAGGTTATAAGTAGCTAATAGCAATTTTCAAGTAATTCTTATTCAGTATAACCGCGACAGAAAGACTAATTTCAAGTAGCTGGGCTTGTCTCGGTGTTCCCATGATATACTTGAATAAATCTTGAGGAGAAAGGAAGGAGGTTGGGAGTTAGAACTATATAAGAACTTTTAAGGTAGGGTGTATAGTTCTATTTAATATCTTTTTCTAAGGGTGGAGGTTGGGAGTTTAATTAGTAGAAATATTAGGGTGGCTTCATTTCAACTCAATTGTACTTTAAGAAATTTAAGGGTAACTGCCTTCCCACAACTAATGAAAGGCAGTGTAGAAGCTTGGACGTTGTGGGTATAAGCACTCAGCTTTGTATCCTTATTTCATTGATTTGTTTATGATTTCCATGACAGCTGACAGATTTACATAGGCATTTGGATTTTGTCTGAGATATGGGACATCCCCAACACATTTGGGTGCTGTTACCACAGACATTTATTATCTGTTATGACAGTAAGTTAAAAACCTGGACCGATATTTTAAGGAAAGCTATTGTACCAAGAACACATTTACATAAAATATTTAATGTTCCAAGAAATTGCATGTTCAGAACAATTAAGTTTGGCTTGGTGTATAAATGTTGTCACATGAATTTTTCATCAGAACAACACTGTATAGACAAGTAATAAGTATGGTGCATTGTAGCGTGTATTTCTTTTTTGACAGCTCATTGATAACCCAGAGAAAACTTCTATGTGGTAATCTGCCATGCTATAAAATAAGATATACTAAATACTTTATTCACAGAAACAAATGAAATGATTGTTTGTGTTTCTTCTTTCTTATGTACTAAGATCCAAGTAGCTGAATAAATTTTGTTTTAAATGAAGCGCGGTAAAAGTTTTGATTTCGGTACTTTGGCGTAAGAGAAGCCAGCAGTTAAGTTTCTAATTGTGATTAGAATTTAATGCAAAACTCTTGCTAAGTAGAAAAACGGTATGTGCAGTCAGTTTTGGGGATGAGTGTATTACTATAGAATATTTAACTTTAGCTGTTTGCATGTTATGAATAAATGAGTCAGTATGTGGATGACTGTATATTGTATAATATTAAAACCCGTGAATAACATTTTTGTTTGATCTATTTATTGTTTATGTAATTGTATTTATTTTGTTTTGTTTTTAATCTTATGATTTGAAGATGATACTAAGCCTCCATACAATTTTGATATTAATGAGCTAATTTTATTATGAAATTTTACTTTGCTTTTTCCAATATGTACATACTATTTCAGTTAACAGGCACATTATGTATTTTGACTAAAGTTGATGCATGTATGCTAAGTAATATATAATATAAAATATCATAATATAGCTTTTGTAGGCTTGTCAGCTTAATGAACATATTGCATAGCTTTGTAGGGCCTGTAATTGTTTATTTCAAATATATGTGTATGTTACTTGTTACAGACCTTAGTTACTCTGGATCTGGTTGCTATGG